AAGCATTCATGTACTCACCGGTATTTTACTTCACCGAGCCTTTTCTGCTCAAACACAGATTGAGGGTTTTAAGGTGATCAAAATCTTTCTGTAGCACCAGGATGATGCGGCTGGGCTCAGGCAGGCCGTAGCTCAGCAGCAGGGGCATTGCTTTCCAGGATCATGGTCAGGGCCAGGCTTCCAGACTCCGTGAAGTAACCATTGCAGGAGACTACGGCCTAGAGACTACCAGATGAGCAGGGCAGGGGCAGGCCTGGATGCCAGGTGGGACTCAGTGCAGGGGAAAGCATTGTCTCAGAGGAGAGGCAGCTCATGCCCACAATGACTGCTTCTGTGGCTTCCACAACCTAGTGTTTGGGAACAGTTGGCATGTACACCTATAAAAATGTGGCACCTTCCCCCGTTGGTTAGCAAGAGTGCAACAGTCAGAGGGCTACTGAATGAGGTAAGAGCAAGTAAGAATGAACAGGACATCTGATTTCAGCCTCTACATAAGGAAGAGGATTAAACAAATGTAAAGGAGAACAGCAAAATTAACAACAGAAAACTATTTTTTAAAAAAACTCAAGGTTTTCTTTATTATGGAATATCAAAGGTAAGATGCTTTTGTTATCTTGCAACCTGAACAGTAAAGTTCTGCCTCTCACTATGCCAGTCTAGACAGCTTGTACTGATCTGGTGATGCTATGTGTAGAACTAACAATGAGACAGACTGCCAAACTTTAATCATGAACAGGGAACAGGGATGTGTACTACTTAACCAAACCTGACTCAGGGCGATGGACATGCTTTACTGTGCTTGTTAAAAATGCAGTCCATCCAATCTTTTCAGTGTGTACACCCAACCTTCTCTCCAGTTCTGTGCCGGTCCGTGTCTTTAACGCAGTGATGTATGGGGCATATTTGCACCTTTGGTTTAAAGGGTAGAGCATAGAAAGGAAACTTGAACATGGTTGAATGATAAAGGTAAGGCCCAGCCTGGCTGAGACCCCAGCCATTTCAATTAATGGCCAACATGTGTTTCACTCAGAGACTTGAAGTGCTCCCATTTGATGTTCCTCTTTACGCATGTGACTTTACCCAGGCTGTAATCGTGAAAATCCAGCTCGACATGTTGGTGCTAACATTCAATTATTAGACTTGTTAATTGCTTTCATTGTGGGTCTTTGCTCTTCAGTAGTTGACATATAACTTTAATTCTCTTGCCTGTATTTTAAAATCTGGCCATGTGCACCATGAAGGAGACTGCCCTCCAATTTTTGACAATACCTACTGGTTTCTCAGTCAATTTTTTTGATGGTTCGGAAACCAAAGCAAACAAATTGTTTAGTAGTAAAGACATCTCTTCAGTCTTATGTGAGGAGCATGTTACTAAACCCTGGTCTCATTTGTGACTGGCAGTCTGTCTATCTCACTGCTAGTTGCAACACAATGCATTAATTGGCAAAGTTACAATACACAATCAGCACCCACAGATAAATCAAAGAAATGATTGGAATTTTCTTTCTTGTTATAGCTTCGCTGGTTTTCTGGGAGGCAACCTGTGGTGGAGCTGGGCAAAGTTTTCCCTTTGATTTCCTCCCTCCCATTTCTGTTGAGGTACTTAGCCCATGCTCAGCACTGACCCCTGCAGGATGAGTGGAGAATGAGACCAGTGTCACAGAGTCACAGAGTTGTACAGCATGGAAACAGACTCTTTGTTGCAACTCGTACAAGATGACCAGAAATCCTAAATTAATCTATTCCCTGCATTTGGCCCATGTCCCTCCAAACCCTTCTCATTCATGTAACTATCCAGATGTCTGTTAAATGTGGTAATTGTACCAGCCTCCACCATTTCATCTGGCAGCTCATTCCATTCATGCACCACCCTCTGTGTGAAGAAGTTGCACCTTTTAGATTTTGCCCCTCTCACTTTAAACCTATGCTCTCTACTTTTGGACTCCTCTACTCTGGGAAAAAGACTTTGGCTATTCGCCCTATCCATTATCCTCATAATTTTATAAATCTCTATAAGGTTACCCCTCAGCCTCTGATGCTCTAGGCAAGATAGGCCCAGCCTATTCAGCCTCTCCCTGTAGCTCAAATCTTCCAACCCCAGCAACATCCTTGTAAATCTTTTCTGAACCCTTTCAAGTTTCACAACATCTTTCCTATAAGAGGGAGACCAGAACTGAATGCAGTATTCCAAAAGTGGCACAGTTCTTTCAGTTTTTATCCCAACTCCTATCCTGTCATTAAGTTAAATGTTACTATAACCCCCAGTTGGTGCTGGAGGCCTCCAGATTTTTAAAATTGGTGTCTAGGATCCAATTCTGAACTTTTAGCCCTCACTCCTGTCACCAGAAATATTTGCGGGAGTGGTATACAGCAAAACCAGAAATCCTGCTGATGCTAAATAAAGACCGAAAGAACTGTGGATGCTGTAAATCAGGAACAAAAAACAGAAGTTGCTGGAAAAGCTCGGCAGGTCTGGCAGCATCTGTGAAGAAAAAATCAGAGTTAACGTTTTAAGTCCAGTGACCCTTCCTCAGAACTGATGGTAGCTGGGAAAACATCGGTTTATATGCAGAAAATAGGGAGAGGGATGGAGTAGGGAATAAACCATAGGATAGCGCCCGAAGAGACAGAAGAGCAGTTGGACAGACAAAGGAGTTGATAACAATCCAACTGGGAGGGTGAATAGCTGTTAATGGGAACTATTAGTGACTAATAATAGGTAGTGGTGTAATGGCAGCCTATGTGGTAACATGGCCTGGTGTGTGGGGTAGGGGGCTAGGACATGGGAGAGTTTAGGCCCTAAAATTATTGAACTTGATATTGAGTCCGGAGGGCTGCAGGGTCCCCAAATGGAAAATGAGGTGTTGTTCTTCCAGCTTGCCTGAGCTTCGCTGGAACACTGCAACAAGCCAGAGACAGAGATGTTGACCAGTGAGCAGGGTGGTGCTTTTTTGTGAGCAGAACATAGATGTTCTGCGAAGTGGTCACCTAGTCTATGCTTCGTTTCCCAGTGTAGAGGAGACCACATTGTGAGCAGTGAATGCAGTAGACTAGATTCTGGGAAGTGCAGGTGAAGTGTTGCTTCACCTGGAAGGTATGTTTGGGCCCTTGGATACTGGGGAGGGAGGAGGTAAATGGGCAGGTGTTGCACCTTCGCTGGTTGCAGGGCAAGGTGCCGTGGGGCTGTGGGGAGGTGTTGGGGGTGAAGGAAGTGTGGACCAGGGTGTCCTGGAGGGAACGGTCCCTGCGGAAGGTGGACAAGGGAAGGGAGGGGTTCTGAGGAAGAGTCACTGGACCCAAAACATTAACTCCTGCTGTTGCTGCCTGATTGTGGGTGAGCAGTTTAAAATCTTCCTCAACTTTGATGGAGCCTGTTCCAATTTGTCACTAGAGGTGATTCATGGCACCTCAGGGAAGTCATGAATCACGGGGATCCCTATCGCAGACTCTTAGAATTGTTATGGAGCAGAACAGGCCATTCGCCCCATGTGTCTGCATCAGCTGTCTGGGTGTTCTAACATGAAGGCAACAGCCCAGTGGTATTATCATTGGATTGTTAAGATAGTTTTCTTGGGACATGGGTCTGAATCCCACAACAGCAGATGTGGAATTTGAATTCCATAAAAATCTGGAATTAAAAATCTAATGATAACCATGAATCCATTGCTGATTGTCGGAAAAACCCATCTGATTCACTAATGTCCTTTAGGGAAGGAAACTGCCATCCTTACCTGGTTTGGCCTACATGTGACTCCACACCCACAGCAGTTACCCTCTGGGTAATTAGGGATGGGCAATAAATGCTGGCTTGGCCAGCGACACCCACATCCCAGGAATGAAAAAATAAACCTCAGTGCCAAACTCCTTCCTTTTTCCCCTAACCCTGCAATTTGTTTCTTTTTAAATAATCATCCAATGTCCTCTTGAGTGCACTAGTCCCGATTGAGAACCAAGCAAAAAAAACAGCCACCACCTTCTGGAATTCTTTGAAATGACAGGTCAGGAGAGTGACATGAGGTTGTTGGGAGAGTCCAGAAAGTCACTGGAGGTGGCACAGCAAGGTCGGAGGTCACTGGAGATTGCACAGCAAGATCAGAGGTCACTGGAAGTGGGACAGCAAGGTCAGAGGTTATTGAGAGGGTGCAGCATGGGAGTGGGGTTAAGGGGTTCATAAAGAGAATGAGCTTAACTAAATTAATCTGGAGGAGAACTTCTGTAGTCTCATAGAGACAGAAGAGATTTTTACGGGACCATCTTGATGTTTGACACCTCACTATTGCCTGTCAGTGGCTGTTTGATCTGTTAAAGCTGATGAGTGTGGCACAAAAAACAATTGTTTCTTGTTGTATACTTGTATGACAGAAACCTCCGTGTGTATTACTGATTCATTTCTTTTTCCACACTTTGGTAACAGTTCACGGTAGGGGAAAAAAAATCCAATTTTCTGGTTGGGAAATCAGAAGGCCAAACTCACACTTTGGACTCAACTCACTGCCAGCTGAATTTATGAATCTAAAACAACATGGCCTGCAGTCAGCTGAAGAGAGCAGGAACTCATGTAAATGCTGGTCTGTAAAATAAACCCAGGAACCAGCATCAAAGCCCAAAGGCACAGCAAGAGAGGGAGACCAGCAATGAAAGGCCACCATTCTCATGTGAGAAAATCTCTCGATCATGTAGAAGCACCTGTGCATCTGGCTTAATTTAAAGATCATTAAACTATCACACTCTGAAACTCAGTGATCCTTCCCACACTCCCATTTCCTGTCCCAACCTAAATCACTGAGTATTAGTTCCCACCATTTTGAATGAAGGCACATAGTCCCCTTGACATGGCAAACACCTGTCACTGGTGCTTCACATTATCATGAGTACATTACCAGCTTTCCACATTTAGGTTCCAGTTGTGATAGGACACCGGTCAAGAGTAAATTTGGGCTCAGCTCTAATGCCCCTGTTGTTGGATAGTCTGCTGGCACTCTACGTCAAAGGTCATCTGAGAAAGTGTACTATTGTTGTAAGGTCTCTGTGGAACCAATCCACAACAAGAATCAGCACCTTCCGGCAAGGAGTTGAAAACATCGAAAAGGGGAGAATGTTCTTGACACAAGTTAATATTTTGGGAATAGTTCTCTAAATATTTGCCCATCTCCTTTTTTCTTGTCCAGCCATTTGCCACATGGGAAGATGGTCGTCACTCCTGTGGCGGTGTTGGTGATCTCGACACGTTCCAGCATCCAGCCTGCATTTGCGTTGCTGTTGTCATGCTCAATTTTCACCTTATGTAACTCTCCTAGATCCAACATTTCAAGAATGAACCGATCCGTGTTGCCCCGCTCAAACAGATTCCGGAATTTGTGCTTCAATCTGCGACTGCCTGAGTCCCCATTCGTTCCATAAATGGTGATGGATACATTGGCATCAGTTCCAGCACCTTTTACATCTCCAGTGATGACAATAATCTCATATTTAACAGGTACTAAACTGCGGACTTTACTGGCAAAGCTCTCCACGATTTTTGTACACTCAAAGGCCTTGAATTCATCTTTTTTATGGCTCAGCTTTATTCTTGCATTACATTGGAACACATACCTGCAAAATAAAACACGGACAATGTTTACTTGGCTTTAAAATCTCCAGGAATGGCCTCACTGCAGGGATATTTTCTTAAAACAGAAACTCCTCTTTGTTTTACCACTAATTGGATCAGAAACAATTATTTGGGGTTACAATTAGTAATCAAATGGAGAAGGTTAGATTAATTAGGAAAAGTTAGCATGGATTTCAAAACAGGGAATCATATTTAACTAACATGCTGGAGTTTTTCGAAGCTTTAACAGAAAGGCTTGATAAGGTTGATTTGGTGTAACATAGATTTCCAGAAGGCATTCAATACCATGACACAACAACAGATGCCAGCACCAACCACCCCCTTCCCCCAACCCCCCACCACCTTGCACCATGCCCAAAGATCAGAAGCGTGGGGCTGAAGTGCAACCAAAAGAACAAAACCAAATTTTTTAAATTGACAAATAGGGGCTGCAATTACCAACAATCAAAACACACACGGCCCACTGCACAGATAGTTGGGCTGGAAATCCATGAACCACTTTAATGTACAATTGCATGGGTCTGCTGAGGGAAAACCAGCCATGTTGTTTCTAATCAACCTCTTCAAGGATATTATTACACACCACTGGAGCAGGTAGGATTTGAATCTGGGTCTCCTGATTCAAGGTGTAGGGACACTACCGTTGTGCTACAGGATGGCATGAAAACCAGACCATTAATGTATGCTCCAGTGGGCGTCAACTGCTTTCAGTTACCTCTGGAGATGTCCTGCTTAATTAATAAAGGGACTATCAGTTACAACATTGTCACTTTTAAGAACAGCAGCTCACTGTCATGGAGTCTTAATGATAAAGAAAATATTTTCAATGAGGGCATCTCACCATTGGGATCTATTTCTGAAAAGGCAGCAGCACTCATAGATGCTGTGCTGAAATACCAACCTCATCAACCCTTTTGGAAAAGGTCTCTCCACATCAATTCCCACATGAAAATGGTCACTTGGTATTTCCAAAGTGACCTTTCAATCTCCTGCCGAGAGTGGTGTTTATTGTGGGGAATCATACATAAGAACATAAGAACATAAGAACTAGGAGCAGGAGTAGGCCATCTGGCCTCTCGAGCCTGCCCCGCCATTTAATAAGATCATGGCTGATCTTTGAGACTCAGCTCCACTTACCCGCCCACTCACCATAACCCTTAATTCCTTTACTGTTCAAAAATTTATCTAGCCTTGCCTTAAAAACATTCAGCGAGGTAGCTTCAACCGCTTCACTGGGCAGGGAATTCCACAGATTCACAACCCTTTGGGTGAAGAAGTTCCTCCTGACCTCAGTCCTACATCTGCTTCCCTTTATTTTGAGGTGATGCCCTCTAGTCCTAGTTTCACCTGCTAGCGGAAACAACCTCCCTGCCTCTACCTTATCTATTCCCTTCATAATCTTATATGTTTCTATAAGATCTCCCCTCATTCTTCTGAATTCCAACGAGTATAATCCCAGTCTACTCAGTCTCTCCTCATAATCCAACCCTCTCAACTCTGGAATCAACCGAGTGAATCTCCTCTGCACCCCCTCCAGTGCTAGTATATCTCTTCTCAAGTAAGGAGACCAAAACTGCACACAGTACTCCAGGTGTGGCCTCACCAGGACCCGATACAGCTGCAGCATAGCCTCCCTGTTTTTAAACTCCATCCCTCGAGCAATGGCAGACAAAATTCCATTTGCCTTTTTAATCACCTGCTGCACCAGCAATCCCACCTTCAGCGATTCATGCTCAAGGACACCCAAGTCCCTCTGCACTGCAGCGTGCTGCAATTTTTTACCATTTAAAACATAGTCCATTTTCCTGTTATTCCTACCAAAATGGATGACCTCACACTTATCAACATTGTACTCCATCTGCCAGACCTTTGCCCACTCACTTAGACTATCTATATCCCTCTGCAGACTTTCAGTGTCTTCTGCACACTTTGCTCTACCACTCACCTTAGTGTCATCCTCAAATTTTGACACACCACACTTAGTTCCCAACTCCAAATCATCTATGTAAATTGTAAACAATTGACGTCCCAACACTGATCCCTGAGGCACACCACTAGCCACTGACCGCCAACCAGAAAAACACCCATTCACCCCCACTCATTGCTTTCTACTGGTCAACCAATCCTCTATCCATGCCAATACACTACCTGTAATACCGTGCAACTTTATCTTATGTAGCAGCCTTCGGTGTGGCACCTTGTCAAATGCCTTCTGGAAATCCAGATACACCACATCCACAGGTTCCCCATTGTCCACCATGCAAGTAATGTCCTCAAAGAATTCCACCAAATTAGTTAAACATGACCTACCCTTCATGAACCCATGCTGGGTGTTCCCAATGGGACAATTTACATCCAGATGTCTTGCTATTTCTTCCTTAATGATAGATTCAAGCATTTTCCCCACTACTGAAGTTAAGCTAACTGGCCTATAGTTACCTGCTTTTTGTCTACTTCCTTTTTTAAACAGTGGCGTCACATTGGCTGTTTTCCAATCTGCGGGAACCGTTCCAGAGTCCAGTGAATTTTGGTAAATGATTACTAGTGCATTTGCTATTTCCCCCATCACCTCTTTTAGTACCCTGGGATGCATTTCATCAGGGCCAGGAGACTTGTCTACCTTTAGCCCATTAGCTTGTCCAGCACTGCCTCCTTAGTGATAATGATAGTTTCTAGGTCCTCACCTGCTATAACCTTCTTGCTATTAGTTTTCGGCATGTTATTTGTGTCTTCCACTGTGAAGACCGACACGAAATAACCGTTTAATGTCTCGGCTATTTCCTCATTCCCAGTTATTAAATTGGCCTTTTCATCCTCTAAAGGACCAATGTTTACCTTCGCCACTCTTTTACGATTTACATATTTATAGAAACTTTTGCTGCCTGTTTTTATATTCTGAGCTAGTTTACTCTCATAATCTATCTTACTTTTCTTTATAACTTTTTTTGTGGCTTTCTGTTGGCCTTTAAAGATTTCCCAGTCTACTAGTTTCCCACTACTCTTTGCTTTTTTGTATGGAAGACTTCTTTGAGAGTTGCTCCGTCTTCAAGACACCTTCTAATTAGATTCAATTTCCCGCGTTCAGTTTTGAGCATAGTTTGAGGCTGTACAAATTAATTTCATTTTGATTAATTACAGGAAGTAGCATTGGGCCATGTCTGTCCCAAGGCATCCAGACTCTGAGATAACAAGGTGTAGAGCTGGATGAACACAGCAGGCCAAGCAGCATCAGAGGAGCAGGAAGGCTGACATTTCGGGCCTAGACCC